CTTCCTCGGATGCTCTATTTGGACATGTAAACATGTAAATGCGCACAGTTAGAGAGGTTACTAATGTAGCCTCTCTTTGGGGACAGTGTCAGGAGATTCAAGCTGTAAGCCATGTGACTGCACAAAGAGCTGCAGGGATTGGCTAAGGTCATCTGTGACCTCAGCATACTGCCTCAGCCACCCCCCTCCCCCTCCCTCCTCCAAACACACACACACACAACCCTCCCTCTAAATCTCTCCACCTCCTTCTCCCTTCCCTGCCTCTTTAATTTTTTTCCTCCAGTTTGCTTTTTGCCTACCTCTCAGCATCCTCGGCTGTGAAGGTTTGAGCCGCAGCAGCAATAGCAGCAGCAGCATCATCCATGGCTCCAGCTCTGATCGACACCTAAGCTGTCCCCCACCCCTCCTCTCTCTCTCTCGCTCTATCTATCTCTCTGTCTCTCTCCCTCCTGAGCTAGTTGACAGGCGACGTCTGGGGGTGTTGGAGGTTCACAGTTAGCCAGGGCGTTAGCCACAAGCACACAGCTGTTCTGCTGCCATCAGTTCGACTGTGTTTCAGTAGCCAGGAGCTTCTTCTCTTCCCCCTCCCCTCACGACACCACCTTTCATTTCAGGCTCTTTGGAGATTGAGGAATGCAAATCTGCAACCATGATGGAAGGTAAGATCGTTTTATTCTGTCTTTTTTTATGCCACCCCATTTTTCTTTCGTAATTCAGGATAATCCTTAATGTCCTTGTTCTCGTGTGCTTCATCTCGTAGCAAGTGTATGAGGTATTTGAGGTTGAGATGTCAGTAGCTGTCCTGTTTCGAGCACACGCATTTTGTTGACTTGCTTGTTATTCTTGGGAAAAGGGCACAGCCACTGAATATCTACAACAGAGGCACAATGGCGAAGCTAATTGAAGCGTGTGTACCTTTGTGTGTGTGTGTGTGTGCGCACGCATATGTCTGAGAACCCCCCAGCCCCCCCTTTTTCCCGCTTCCCATCGTAAAGGATTATTTGGATTTATTGTGCAGGAGGGCTTATGTACCCAGCTGGCTCACTTGTATAAATTTTCTTTGTATGGTGCGCTCTGAAACGGACGCACACGCTCACTGCACTGTATGACTTTGCCGTGCGTTCACACTACATGGCCGTTTAACCCAGCACTTGTACGTTTGCACGGGTAAGCGCACGGGTACATTCGAGCCTGCCGATGGCTGGACCGAGCCGTCTCTGTGGGATTAAGCATAGTGATGAAAAAGAGAATTCATCATTGTTTTAATGTCATGTCCCTTTAATTGGTGACATCATTAGGGGCAGGCCGGTGATGTGGGAATGAATCTCTGTAGCTCTGCAGCTGGCACGCCAAACCTTCTGTTTCATATGTCTTTTATTTCCTGGATTTGGTTTGGAAATACAGTATATAATATATTCAGTGACCAGTTGTGTGTTCTATGAACAAGATTTGAATGCAAAAGATTTGAAGTGTGTACGTTTTAATTGTCTTAAGGTAGAAAATTTCAAAAAATTGTGGATAAATGCACGAGGAAAATCGTTGTTTTAATGTCGGATGACCTTACGACAAGATGGAATTACCTCATTGGCTGATGAGGACAGATCTTAGCATGCTGTCTGCTTTTATGTGTTTCTCTATCAGTGTTTAAAAATAAGTGACAGCTATTGAGTCCTTTACGTTTGCTTTGTAGGCAGGTAATCCACACATGTTTACAGTAATTTGGACATTGGGATATGCTGCTCACCATGCCAGTCCCCTGATTTCTGATGGATTTGTAAGCTTGAGAGAAAATTTCAGTGTTTAAAGGTATAGTTCTGAGTAAGTAATGGCTGTTTGACCAAATGGCTTATCGCTTGACCTTAACTGTGTATTGTCATGCTACTGTGTCATGAATAGGCTTACTGTCACTTACTGTCTCATGTGTCATTATACAATGAACTGTGTTGTAGGTTATGATTTATATAATGGCCGTATGGCTCCACCCTTTCTGTCAGACGCTGCAATTCTCTTGTAACACTGAGGCCTCTAACAATGATATCTAATAAGCTCATGCTGCTCATGCAGACGCAAATAACTAATGAGAAGTCACGTTTGTTTTTGAAACAAAGAAGGTAACTCTGGGTAACCTTTTCCTTCCTGTAGGCCGCAGCAGTATAATATGATTCCATGTTCAGTGTCGTACTGGGATGCAGAATCACAGTGACAGCACTGGGCAGTTGGACACTAATGGGCTAAACTAGAATATGATGAGCTAATTTTTTTAGTGTATTGTCCTGTCATAGATCACATAACTCTCTTGGGCCAAGTTATTGGGTAACCAAAAACTACAGACCGTCTATAAACCACTTACCTTCCATCAGCATGGCTAGCACAGGCTTACCATGGACTAGTGAGGGCAGGATTACAGTCAGGTGTTAAAATTGGATGCTAATCCTTGTTAGCTCTGCTTTTTAAGGCCTGCATGATTGGCCGTGAGTAACATACAGGGTAGAAGATGAGTAGTTACTTAAATGTAACCTAGAGCGAGAGGTACAGGCGTTTGCTAACGTGTTGCTAATAGCAGCTAAAGTTAGCTCCTCGTAGCTGTTCTGAGAGATGGCTACTGTCTCAATCTAAAATAGACATTGGTCTCATTAAACTGCTTACTTTTGATTCAGTTGCTAAGATAGGTAGTCACGCTGCACCTTTTAGAGAATGTTGTGTGTTTCCTTAGCTTGGTGGTCTGTTCGTTGTTGGATGTTGCAGAATCAGGCCAGTTCTGAAGTGTTGTTTTGTCATCATCAGCTGCAGCAGCCATTATTCAGCTTGGCTGGAAAAGCTCAAACATAGACCAAACCGTTTCTCACTAGTGTTGTTTAAGAGACATCACAAGATGCATGTTTGTCAGTTTTATTAATAAGATCCTCTGTTCGATCGTGGGAAGAGATCCTTCTGCAAACTTGGAGAGTTATCTGCTGTGGTGACCCATAAGGGAGCAGCTGAAAGTAGCTTTAGTTCTGCATGTACCGTACATTACCCGGGTCAGTCTTAACTTTCAGTTTTTAACAGTCGTTTGCAGTAAATGTCATTTGCTTTGCTGCTGTATATCATGTTTTTGGATTAAGTTTCTGTTACAATAGTTTTTATGTTCTACTTTGCTTCGTTGTTTCGTTTTATCCAGTTTTAAACTTTGCTGTTTTATGCTTGTAGTGTTACTGTTCAGTAAAAAAAAACTACTTTGATAAGTGGCCCTATTTTCATATTTATGACACCACATTTCATAGCTAATCCACCAGGTGTTTATTTTAAGAACAAGGACAATAATCTTGACTGATACAGGAACATTCAGTGTCACCATATTTGGATTTATATGGTTTTCACAGGACATTAAAGGTACATCCACACAGGAAGCAGTTTGTGGTGATTAGTGAAGTGAACTGTTCCCGAGTAAATTGGAATTATAGTAAAGAAGGACACTATGTGTATGTATGTATGTATATATATATAGAGAGAGAGAGCAAAAGGTACGTCTGTATGTTAGTATTGGTAGGTTTTTTGTTAATTTCAAATGGCTGCAATAATTCCTGGCTTCATAAAGGTTGTAATCTTCAGTTTTTCTTGATTATAGGTTTTGAATCGACTCTATGATTACATTCAAAGATGTCGTGAGCTACTTAACTGGCTTGCGAGGTCATCAGTGTTGCTCTCCTGTGGTTTCAAATATCATCTCTTCAGCAGGAAAACATGTGAAGTAATTTATTGCATTTAGTCTTCTTACTGTGATCATTTGCATTTGTGCTGCTCGTCTTCTCACCCATCACAAATTAATTATTCGACAAACATGTTTTTAAAAGTTTCCCCCATTGGACAACCTTGCAAGATAGAAGCTAACCATGCTACTTAGTTGAACCAGCTACAGTTTATTGAAATCATGTGTATCTGGTCTTTAAATGATGACGTGTGAACCTGCTTCCGGGCCCAAACTACTCTGCATTTATTAAGGCTGTTGTGTTTTAAATGCTTTGTATTTCTATTTAATCTGAAGGAGCCCCTAAAACAGTCAGTGATCACTGTTGGTCTCTGTTTTTATTACTCTATTCATTTTAAAGCTGAGGTTTTAAACTGTTACAATGTAACTACAGCCCAGCCCATGCAGCAGTATATTAATGACTAACCTCGTATTGTGGATGGATTATCTCAGTTGTTCTCCTGACTGAAGTTTGGTCCGTTTACAGCATCCTGCCATGCGATTACATTTGTCACTAACCATCAGGAACCCTCATGTTAACTTTTATCGAGTGGAAAAGGTTAGCGTTCATCCTCCAGCTTCACTGTTTGTTTATGTCATGCTAACAGGAAGTGACAGCAGAGCTGTATATTTTAGAAATCTCTCAGTCAGAACATGCTATATCATGTTTAGGTGGAAACTAGCGAGCTAACTTCCTGCTAACTTCTAACTCTGAATTTAATAAATTCTGTTTTCATGGATGCCTGGATGTTAAACTTCATTGTTACACCTGATAAAGCAGCAACGCTGATGATTTTATTAAAGATGAAAGACTTTAGACAGTTTGCAGCATCTCTGAGAGTTATAGTGTTCGACTTTGGGACCTGAATCGGAGTTTGGACCCGGAAAACGGCTAATGACATCAGACTTAAAGACCGGATTATGCTTAGTGTTTTTAACCTTGCTGCTAACAACAGATCTAAACACTGAGATATACTTCGTATGGCAAGACTTTGAGGTAAATATAGGCCCACTGGATTTCATTTGAAGTATTTTTCATATTTCTTATTTGAATTAGTAATACTCAAATATTACTAATTCAGGTGCTCTCACCAACCGTGAGAGGGCAAACACCCCCCAGGGAAGAAATGGGAGAGAGAGAAAAGGACATGTTCAGTGAGAGCAGTGGGTTGTGAGGAATATGTAGTGGTTGATAAAGATCAGACGGGGAGAGCTGGAGATGAGGCAGATAACTTTATAAGCAATTAATAAAGGAAGTTCAGATTTGGATTATCTTGATGGTTCTATGTATATACGTACACTTAACTTCTGTAGCCTTGGAGACGAGGTACAAATCAGACATGTATGTGCATCCGTGTCCGTGTTTGGTGCTCTGTGCATTACATTAGGGATCAGCTCCTATCTGTTGTTCTCTATCTGATCAGTTGCATCTTATGTTAAAAACCAAAGGGCTGATTAGAAGTGTCCGACCTTTCCTCGAGCGGTACTCTGGAGTCAAAACTTCCTTTATAAGGCAAACAGCACCAACATGTTTCCTCATCTACCCTAGAGCCGAAACATTTTGTGTTTCAGGCACTTACAATTAGGGCAGAGGTGAAACAAGAGTAAACTCTGTACAGACTCTTGTGATATTTTCTGATCACGACAATGTTCACAATGGAAAAACACTTATTTTTAATGACTGCATGGTATTTCCTTTGGCACCACCATACGGGATAAGTTCATGTCGCAGTCCGAGGACTGATAAGGATCGAAGATTAGCAAAATCAGTATGTTTTTGTTATTCTGTCAGAATCTTTACTACACTTAGCTGCAGTAATCATTTACTACACTAAACTTGTACTGAACAATTTAGTCAGTCATAGACAGTAGGAAGCTTTAATCCTGGTTACCAGCGTTTGGAATTAGACTGTCACAGGGAGGCACAGTATT